GGTGTAAATGAATTTTGCCGAGTTATTAAGGCAAAAAGTCACTGCAACCATGGCACAACATCAAAATTTGTTTTTCCGAAGAACTCATATTCATTTCAATCTTATTTTGAGTTTAACAATCGTGGCTTCGTCGTCCCATTTTTACCAAATTGTTTCGTAAATTTCTCCACCTTTTAGCTATCATTCTTAATTTTTAATCCGTGTCACTCGAATATTTTCTTCCGATCCAAATTAATGTTTTGCCGACTGGGATTCAATATTTTGCCGACCACCTAATGACTGGGGGGTGTTACCCACACCACCCTTAAACCCTTTAGCGCCAGCCTTGCCTACCTGGGCTATTTTTCGCATATAAAAACTATTGATAGCTAAACGATCAAACAATTCCAAAGAATGTTTGACCAATGTCTAAATTAGAACAAGATAATCTTCTATGGTCAAATTACCAACAAAACCAACTTTAATTTGCGTCCAGGCATATACCAATAATCACATATACATGCTAATATCTTTAATAATATATTAAAAGTATTTCTGACGTTGCTATGCAGTGATTTACTTGCAGTACTTTATTACTCATGTTAATTGTTTTCTCTTTTATAAAATTATTTTAAGCACATTACGTATTTTACCAGGCCTAGCTGGTACCTCACTGCATGCGTATGCAGATTGTCCAGTCGTATGATTACGTCATCGTATCATTATCATCATATTTGTATAACCAGGTTTAATAACTAGTCAGCATATTCGAAATTTCTAGGCCGAATTCACGTTTGCCTCTGTCTATTAATCTATTATTGGGTTGGTTTCACAAGCTAGACTTTGGTTTAATTTCCCGCTTCGTTCTTAATGCAAGCTTACGTAATTTAAATAAAGGGCGTTGCTGTTTTAATGGTTCTTTACAACTTGCTGATGTATGCAAACATTGAAATCTACTTTTCGTGGGAAAATCCCGTCTCTAAATTGCAGTCACACTGTAAATAATAACTCCCCTATTATAAATGCTTTCTCATGTCATTTTGAAGCATCGTCAAATTGTCTTTTTCCAACAACTGATATTTACGCGCGGCTGTGTTGTCAAGTTATACTTTTGATAATCAGGCAAACGTTGTACGGCCAGTAAAACGCTTACTGAGGAGATAGGTTAATTCTCCACACGAAAGAAGACGCACTCAGCCAGATAACAAATATCTGGGTATTAAGTAACTGCAATATCAACAATTACACCCATTATCCTTTCAACACTTCAAATCCTAATACCATACAAAACAACAGTGACTCCAGAAATTAATATTGCAATATTCTCTACAGTACTAGTCAAAAGCTAGAGAATAATAAAATGTTCCTTTTTGCTTTTTGAATCACCGTTGTTTTGTATTTTACTAAAATACTTAGTGCATGGTTTAGTCACCATTAAGGCACAGTTTAGCCTTTTGAACGATGGTTTTTAAGGCGCATTTTAGCCCTTTTAATTGAAAAACACTAACTAGGAAAATCAAGCATAATTCGAGATCGACAAATGTAATGTTTTTAACATTTAAAAAAAATTATTGTTAAAAACATTGAGTTTACTGATCTTGAATTATGCATAATTGATTTTCCTAGTTAGTTTTTTTTCAATTAAAAGGGCTGAAATGCGCCTTAAAAACCACCATTCAAAAGGCCTTTATACACTGTAACATAATACCCAATAGTTTCCCATGGTTAATATGATAAACATCTGTTAGAAGTATGAATTTCTCCTTTCAAATTTATAGTTAAAACAATGCACAACGATTTAATACATTAATGAAACAAAGTTTCTTGAAATAGTCTTTTCATGCAAATTTCCATGCAATATTAAAATTATTGTACACTATTGTTATTTATAGTGTACGCCGCGTATGGTTTTGATGAAGATATCAAATTCCAAGAAATAAATACCTGGTACTTGGAATTGATTGACAAATGCACTGGTCAACCAAAGTGTAAGCACTCTAGGATATATTCGTCGCAGACCAAGCATAGTTACTTGACGTTATAAACTAAGAGTCCAAGCTCTTCGCTTCGTAAACAAGAAATACTTGGCGTACGTGCAATGGTAAATACAAAGTAGAAACATGGAATGTACAAGTAAAAATCGTACGGCAATGACTACCATCTCAGTGAATGCAATATTCACAGTGTTATTGGTGATAGGCATGGCTTATTTATCCACTCAAATCATGTACCAGCAACAGGAAATCAAGAATTTCCGGACCAAGTTGCAGAAAGTCCAGGGAAAGAACGGAAGAATTCACCTCAGACAAGTAATTAATTGATAGATTGTGTTTTTTTAAGCGTAGTCATTATAAATAGATCGAAAGTGAAAGGTCAACTCTCCAACTATTGTTCTCAAAGCATTGTAATTATTTGGTCATGGTAAAGTATTTTAGTTACCTTAAGTTAACTTCAAAACTATAGATCGAAAATTGCATTGTAGTATGTAGTATGTAGTACTTACACAAAGTGAAAATCATTTCCAAATGGCTGTATATGTGGGTGTAATAATACTAAAAGTTAATAGCCTATCATTGTTTTTTCAATGCACAGCTGGCTAATATGCAAAGATGCCTGACAAATGAAATATGATTCAAGAAACAATTATATACCATGGTGATTGATTGTGTGTTTCCAAAGAAAGGCTATAGGATTTGCAATGATCTGAATCTAGTGAGACGAATGTCGGGGTTTAGCTTGCCTGGGCGAGGACCTCGTAGTAGCCAAAATAACATCTTTCTCTCGACTGTTGCACGAGATACACAAGAGTAATATATCTTTCACTGTTCTGTATTTGAGAAGTTATATTGGGTTGAAACGCTCTCTGACCGAGCTACAACTGGATCATAACCTTAGCTACCACTGCATGCAGATATATGTGTACACAAGATTAATAAGATACCTACATTTACAATAACAAAGATAGTTTTGTAGTAAGTAAATATGGGCAATCAAACGATTCAGACAAACGAGGAGCTAACATATTATGTTATCTAACTGGTGTAAACGGTAGTGAAAAGAAATATATGTTCTAAAGTCAAAATGTTGGAAAATATTTACTTGAACGACATTCTGCATTAAACTTTCTAGAACTCCGAATCAGCTCATCTTATTGGTCGTGGAAACACGAAGGTTCGCTCGAGGCCTCCCCCTGGAGGTAAGAAACACTATACATTATATTATACACATTATATATATTTATTATTGTTGTATTAATTTATATAATCTTGAACGCTCTGCAAACAAAAGCACACTAATGTGTACGGGCAGAATTATAGGCTCCAGTATAGGTCGTCTTTCCAAGTTTTCCAGACGAATATAATATTGTTTTCATGGCGTTGAAGAAGAATATAATATCTAGGCATTCTATGCCAGTAAGAAATTGGTGTAACTCAAGAGATATTAGTCTTTAAGTTTATCCAGGAAATCGAGATTAATTTTTTCTTAGTCTATTTTTGAAAATGTAGATGACAACTTATTTCTTGGAACTACAACTCGAATCAGTAGACAGTGTTACAATTTTCTGACTTTTCCTTTCTTTAGATGTTTACAGAGTAACTTCCTGGAAGAAACAGCACATGTCTGGGAACATGAGTTACGACAACAATGGCTATCTTACAGTGAAAGTTGACGGAGTTTACTTTGTTTACACTCAGATGTATTATCATGACGGTAACAGCAGCTACACCGGTTTTAGTGTATATATTGACAACAAGAGAATCCTGAAAGCAATCTACAGTGTTATTGATTTGTATAGACCATACCACACTCAGTATATTGGTGGTGTTTTTAAGATCACCAAGGGGCAGAGAATATGGGTGGGGACAACGATAACACGACTATACTATTTCAACGAGTTTTCATCCTTCTTTGGTGCCTACATGTTACACTCATTGCCTTGACTTCAGTTGTTCTATTTATAGAGAGAACAAAACTTACATTGCAATACAATGATTTTGGGCATCTCAAAGACATTATATATAGGACTGTGTAGGTCTCGTTAATGTATAAAATTTACACTCGAAATTTCCATCTACAAATCCCTTCTACAAGACCGAGTGTAAAAGCCTAAAATTCTGTAGCTATATAAAAAGAACTTGTGGTTAGGACTCGACAACTGGCCTTTGTAGCTCAGTTAGTTAGAGCGCTGTACTGGATCGCAGAGCCGCAGGTTCAATTCCTGCTCAGAGGTATATACAGTTCGCAACTGTTCTTGGTTAGGTCAGTCTGATAAATGTATATAGTTCACCATGCATCCACAGCATTCTTCTTCAATGATGTAGATACCCAAAATCCGCCTAATTAAAAAACAACATGTAAATAAAAGTCCTACGTACATATGATATATACACTTCATCACATTTTGTACAGTATAGCTGTACTCTGTAGCTATTGAGAATGCAGGTAATCTGAAAAAACTATAATTGTCGTGCAATGCTATATAGTAATTAGTTTCTTTTAAAAAGAATTGTACATAAACAATTTTCATTTGCGCATTTGGCAAAATTCTTGACTATCGCTACAATCTCAATGCATTCATTATTTGTGTTTTATAAAAATGACAGCCAATATAAATATAATTTTAAATGTTAATATAGAAGTCAACAGAAATTATTGTTTTTAAAATTGTAAATATACAGTAAATATCAATCATTTTGAATTTGAATTTATTATAATGAAACATATTACAATCAAAGATTGAATTGCATGTTAGTTTTTACATGGATGATATACACTACAAAAAACACATGTTACAAGAAGTGTAATCAAGACGCATTCAAATTTAGCTCCACACAGTCACGTGCCAGTATTAATTAGATTCATAACTTGCCTGGATCAGTGTTTACAACTTGAAATCTCACTCTTCCTGCGTTTCGGCAAAATTCCCTCTTTATTTTCTCCTCTCGCGTCCAAATAAGTGCCCAACAAATTTGGCTGATATACAAAAATAAGCTGCCAAGAGGTGGCTTAAGAGCAGTGAAAAGGAACTCACGATGGTGCAGTTTTGATGGGGCAGTTTTGACAATGGAGCAGTGTTTGAAAAATAGCAAGTACACATATTTGTGCATGGTGCATAAAGTATATCGTGTACGGTTCAACCAGAGATGTAGCGACCGGGAGTGTGGGGAGTGTAACCCCCCCTCCCGAACTGTGAAACTCTTGTTTTTGACATTTTCAGGTAAAATTTGCGTAATAAAGTCGTTATCTTTGTGAAATTTTTGTAAAGTACGATCAATTTAGATCCATTTCGTTTACGAATTTGCTTTAGAAAACGCCAGAAATGCAGTCCTGGATGTAAAATTTCCTCAGGGGACGAACCCCTTTTCTTCGGAAATTTAGCATAACAATGGAAATCAGAAAAAGCTCTATTATAATTATTACAGTTCAGGTAAATTTTTAGCATTGAAGTTCAAATTTCAGGTAAAATCCCCACTTCAGATGCTACGTTACGTCCCTGGGTTCAATATTCAGGTTATTGAAAAATTTCTATAGAACTATTTGTGGATTCATTGTCTCAAGTTCACTTTGCATATTTTCATTAAGAACGTGAGTTAACGTTAAGGCGTCGAATCTTTTCTAAGAAAAGATGTTCTAATAATGGTATGCGGCCAACCCTTGCCCTTCTCATAGAGAAGACAATGGGATTTCAACTAATATTTTCTTTATATTGTGAAAAAGAAAACAATTATATAAACCTCGTTGAAAGGTTACAGCGACAACAATCAATTGAAAAACAACCGAAAACTTGACACTTTTTAAATTATATCATCTTGAACGGTTGATGCTAATGTAGGTAGTGCCAATAATAAAGCTGCGTATTGATAGGGATACAGCTACCTGAAAAATACAAGGAGACTTCTAACTTGTATTTGAATAATTGAATTTAAGTTCTCCTTGTTTTGAAGTATTGAAGTGCGTCCTCCTTGTCTTTTGGGGGACTCCAGATACTTGTATCCCTATCAATCCACAACTTTCTTATTTTTATATCAGTCAATCAGAGATCGTTATTTTTACCCTCCTATCAGAAGACAGGGTCAGTCCTCCAATTTCGAGGGGGACGCAGCGCTCAACTATGGCGTCTCTCTGAGCACAGTTAGTACGCGTACGGTGGAATCAACTTTTCACAAGGTTTCTTCCCTTCCTCACAAAATGAGAGAACCACGTCCTGGGAGTTTCCTGCGGGCGTTTCTAGCTTGAGTTTCAGGGCCTATTTTGCAAATAGAGCCCGACATAAACCTTACTCCGGTCGCTCTACATCGACAATAAGTTAATAAATTTTATATTTAATATCCAAATCCAAATGTTCCGTTGATTACACAAAACTGAACCCCATTCTGTGACTGAACAACGACAATCTAATTACTCTTGTTAAAACTGTTAATAATGGTATAATCTAATTAGCATTAACCAACCAAACGACAGATTAAAATTATTTTAGTATAACCCAATCCGGATTTTGGCTTTTTTACATCCGGCGTTTGTGCCAGACCTTTTCTACCCGCATTTAAGGAAGGGAAAACAGGACATGATACTCAGGCTAATCCGTTTCCATGACCAGATGTATGATTGTGAAGTTAATAAAAGTATCATCTTTTCGAAAATTTTCTGTGAGCATCGATGACGTCCATCATTCAAGTGTTGATGTGCGACCGCACGGTATTTTGGGAAGGATTTCATATCGATTAATGAAGCATATATTTAAGAATTAAAGTGATAACATTGTTATAAACACAATCATTCAGCAGGGATTCCTTCAATTTAAACCTGCACTACATGTTGCAGCCAAGACCTTTTAACCGTGAAATATTCACGGTAGCGTAATCTGTGATTGACGAAGCAGTAATACTTTTGCAACAAGATAATCCTTTCCTGAAAGATTAAAACTATACTAAAGTTGAGAGAAAGATGATTACGAGGTTGTAGTGACATATTTTGTCAGTGTGATCTATATATACTCACTAGGAGTATTAAATATTCATACCGGTCCTATTGTATGTATATGTATGTAATCACTATTGTAATATGAAAACAAACGGAATCTGCATGATCAAACAATACTTTTCCAGGAAGAACAACAACTTCATATTAATAACGTTTGTCTTTTGATATCAAAATCATCTATATTTGTCGCAGCAACATCAGCTTTGTTTTGCATGTGTCGAATGAAAAATTGAAACATCCACCATGAGCTCCAAAGGGGCAAAATACACGACGAAGTGCATCGAAGTGCCTGTATTTGTTCTTAACATCGCATTGTTGTATGCTTTTCTGATCACTGTTAGTCATTTATTAGCCTGGGTGACTATAGCACGTCATGAAAGAACCATTGAAGAATTGAAAGAGATTTTGCTGAGGAGAATTGAGAATGAAGAGAAGCAACCTTTGACTTCAGACCAGACACTTAGAGGTGATGATGGCGAGAATACTGTTGTGCAAGAAAGCGATGTGTTGAAGGTTTGTTTTCTTTGCTTTCGTTTTCATTTCGTCGTGACTGCTATGACCAGTCCAACCCTATTAACTGTGGTCAAACTGATGTAATACAGCACTGTCGACGATATCAGATAAACCCAATTTGCAAAGAGCACACCAGATATTTCCAACCTATATACTCTTGCATGTAAATCGTTGTATTTAAATATTCGAGAAGATAATTTATCGTGTATTGCTTAACCGAACTCCGGCATGGAAGTAGGCTAGAGTATATTAACATCACATGCACGTACACGTACACGTACACGGGATGAAAAATATGTACGTACTTATTCTATATAGTTACTCGCCGGGGAGGAAAACGCTGAACAACGAGCTAGAAGGCATTTGGACTCAAGCGGTAAAAATAACAGTAAGTAAATACAATTATACACAGAATAAACTATTTGCATGTCAAAAAGGACAATTAGAGCTGCTGCAATGCACGCTCACGGTATCGAAAATATCATGCAGTGAAATTTGCATACAATAGTATATATATTGTTTCAAAAATTTTACTGATCTTTATACTTCATAACATTTAAATCAGCAAATATTTTGTAAAATAATTAGAGACAAACTGTATTAATAATATATTTGGTAGCTCACTCAAAGAAAGACAAAAGGCGAAATAAAGAAATGCAATAAAGTCTTCGATTATATAAGCATTGACATAAACACACTAAGCAAAAGCGCAGGACTGCAAGGGTAAGACATTCCGCGATAGCTTGTGTCACTATAGTGAGGAATAAAGGCTGCATTATTGACCATATAGCGTACCTACCTGAACTAATTCTCTTTGATCGTCGTGCTGTAGCTTGGTTTCTAGATGCTGCATGCAGCATCAGCTACCACATGCTACCAACTAAATAACCCTTAAAACATGGTGTCAAGATCATATCGGAAGTTCATTCAAAAGACATTATTGTTTGTCGCTCATTTTCGTCTCTATAAAATCAATCCAAACACAAACTAGTCAAAAGCATTCATGCATGTAAGCAAGCAAGCAAGCAAGCAAGCATGCAAGCAAACAAGCAAGCAAGCAAGCAAGCAAACAAGCAAGCAAGCAAGCAAGCAAGCAAGCAAGTAAGTATAAGTAAGGTCGGTTCATTTTCGTCTCTATAAAATCAATCCAAACACAAACTAGTCAAAAGCATTCATGCATGTAAGCAAGCAAGCAAGCAAGCAAGCAAGCAAGCAAGCAAGCAAGCAAGCAAGCAAGCAAGCAAGCAAGCAAGCAAGCAAGCAAGCAAGCAAACAAGCAAGCAAGCAAGCAAGCAAGCAAGCAAGCAAGCAAGCAAGCAAGCAAGCAAACAAGCAAGTATAAGTAAGGTCGGTGTGCTAATAATCCTAACTTGCAGCTGAGAGCTAAGCTGAATTGCGAAGGACGAAGCTCAACCTCATCCAGTCGAAGGCTTATTAAGAGTAATTCTGCTATGGCTCATCTTACTGATGACAGCTAATCCAAACCCACCCCATCAAACCGGACTGGAGAAAGCCCATGATTTTCGGTGTAGAGCGTTGGCTAACTATACAAAATTATATAATACTGTACAAAACCCTTCTTGTAAAAAAACTGTATAATACTGTACAAAACCCTTCAACATTAGTTCAATCAAGTGAGATTGCCCAAGATAATCCTGAATATACCTTACCATCATGACCTCTGTATAGCCTCAGACCCCGTTTACACGATACCGGACGAATTTGGAACCGGGCTGAAATATTTCTGTTTCGGTCTTCCGTTTACACGAGAACCACGAAACAGGACGAATTTGAGATCCCCAAACAGGACGAATTCGCGTGTATATAAACAGACGAAAAAGGACGAATTTCAGCCCGGTCCCAAATTCGTCTGGTATACCGTGTGTGAACGGTTGATGGAGCGCTACACCACGGAAGTGCAGGGCTGCAGGTTCGATTCCTGCTACCTGGTTAGCTAAATAAATAGTTAATACCTCAGTGCGTGTTTTTCACGATGTACTATTGCGGTATGTACATATTCAAATTTTAGCAACAGTCATAATCATCATCTAAGAGCTAAATGAGTCGACAGTCAGTAATTGCATGATGACATATTCAAAACGTAATAGTGATTTAAACTGTTATATGTTTTTGGGCATAATCCATGGCGTTCCCGCACCAAAAGTATTTTTTAATCAGATATTATATTGCATTTTTTAATCAGATATTATATTGCATTTTTTATAGATTCTCACAATCATTTAAAAGGTGTAAAAGGAGATAGGGGTGAAAAAGGTGCGTGAAGGTCACTATTTCATACAATGTAATCTACTGAGGTTATATATCATTATGTTACGGTCATAAGGCGGTTAGGATTAAAGATGGCGTTGTGATTTGGGTCAAGAACAGATGGCAAATATACTCGTGTGGGTAACACAACGACAGACAATTTGAGACGTGCATAGACGTACGAGGCAGGAGGAGGCGTGGGGACAGGGGTGGGCAGCTTCCTCCCATTGAAAATGAAGCAGGCAAGATATAAACGTAAGCTGAGGTCTTCTCGCCACTCCCTTTACTTTCAATTTTCATTTCCTTAATATACATAAATATAAATATAACTAAATTTTATTACAATGTAAAAACTGAATGAAGTGGTAAAAAAATTGAAATTGAAAAAATTGAAACATGACTGATTCCAAATACATACAAAACCCATATAATTATTGCGACGTGAATTTTATTAACGCCATATATTTACCCATAATTCTGTAACATTAATACAGAACAACTTAGTACAGAACTTCAAAATTAGGAAGGTTCTTGTAGTGTTTTGACTGTAAGTTGCACCACAACCTACCAGCTTACCATAGTAAAATGTGCGGCCCATGATTATGTCTATATTGTCCATTACGTAGGTGATAAGGGTGATCAAGGTAGGTTGGGACGGGATGGACGGGATGGTTTGACTGGACCTCGGGGACAACAAGGAGACAGAGGAGACCCAGGTATGCAAGGGCCTCAAGGATATCAAGGCTCTCCTGGACCTCAGGGGATACCAGGATCTCGAGGTGTTCGAGGAGAGAAAGGTTCTAGTGGGTCCAAAGGCGAAAGAGGTGGGTTGTCGTTCTTTCAGGAAACTCATATATTCTCCAGTAACGCGTTTAACTTCGTCTATATATGATCTATAATCTATAGTCATTATTATTTTTATTTCAGGAAATGACGGACGCCCAGGCAAGGTTGTCAAGGTGACCACAATCAAGCTACTTCAATAGTATATAGATGCTTCCAATAATTTCAAAAAACCCAATGTGCATAAAACACGATGTGTATTTGGACTTTTGCAATTTTAGATCATACGCAAGATCGTTGTAGAAAATATCAAGACAAATTAAAGCCTCGCAGAAACCAATTTACTATTATAGCACGACCTTTAATTGTGTCGTTGAGCTAGCGTATCGAATTTAATAGCAGATTTATACATCCAGACGAATTATCATCGGCTGTGCGTCGCTTAAGGCGAAGAACCAAACTCATAGTTCGTCTATAGTCCGCCAAAACTAATTTGTATTTTAGAGACGCTGCATGTAATTGCTTTTAAATGTATTGTGGGTATGGTCCCAGAATATCTAAGTCACAACTTAGTACTAGGGGCAGCATAAGTGGGCGAAAAACAAGGTGGAATTCCGAAAAATTACGTGCTCCATTGTCTAAGGACAAAGATAATTTTCTTATAGAATTGTCCACATGCATTTGGAATAACTTGCCGCCCTTTATAAAGGCAAGCGAATGTTTAAATAGTCAGAAAAGAAAATTAAGGAAGTGTCTCCTAAATGAATATTTGACAGCTATAATTAGTAATATTTGCATGTGTTTTAGTTAGGATTAATTTATTGTCCAGTATGACTATTTTTAAATGTTGTAAAATTGTCACTGGCTAATGTCCCTGTTGGGGAGTTGTCAGTAAAGTATTTGCTGGGCTGCCGCAGCGAGCGAGCCGGAAGCGAGCGAGCAAGGCAGCAGCTCCTAATTTTGTTTTGTGGATCGAAATCAAAATTTTCTATTTGGCGCATTGCATGACGATACCAGTGAATTTTGACCGTGGTGCAGCGCGGTCAGGCATAAAGGAAATAGGCAATGTGATCATCTTTCATCTTTAGTTTTCTTTTATGGAAAGCCATAGCTGGCTTAAAGTGATCAAACGGCATTTTGTTTGGTGCTTTTAGCATTATACGGCAGTGGTCTCGACATTATATGCGGTGCTTTTGCCAATATACGCGGTGGTCCGAGCCGATATTATACGCGGTGCTTTCGCCATCATACCAGGTGCTTTTACCATTATACGCGGTGCTTTCACCATTTTCACGCGGTGGTTTCGCAATTATACACAGTGGTTCAAGCATTATACGCGGTGCTTTAACACTATATGTGATGCTTTCATTCAACATTATTTCCATATTCTTTCATGTATATGATTTCACGATTGCTTAAATTTGGCGGTATGTGGTTGACAATGTTTTTTGTTTTTTTGCCTCTGGTCTGCAATGACAATGACATGCTATAAATTAAAAGGCCTTTATTTATTCACTACCCTGTGGGTAAACTAGTGTATTGTATGAATGCGTCTTGTACGCCCTAGTTCGCCCTAGTTCGTCCGGACGCATAATAATAGAGACGCATTGAAAGATATAAAGATATCCTCCTCTCCTTAATTAAAACAAACTAATAAAACTGATATGCAGCTAACTATACGCTGTATACAGGGCCGCCGAGAGGTTGGCGGGGCCCCGGGGCAAATTGTTTTTGGGGGGCCCACTATCAAAATTTTTCCGCAGAACAACCTCCCCTCCCCGTCGCCAAAAAATTTTCGGTCAGTGTACCATTTTAGGGTTAAAAAATTCTTTCCGGAGTAAAAAATTTTTCCGGACGAGTACGTTGCAATTGCTTTGCAGGAACTTTATCTCATTATCAAATTTCGGTACTTAGCCCAAGAAAACAGATATCTTGTCCTTTGCGCGGAAATATTTAACACATATTTATGTCACGTCTTTCATAAAAATCCCATATCTTATACCATATCGTTATACCATATCTTTTTAATACAGCATCTCCATTCAGCTCATATTGTCGCTTCTGGAAAAAAGATCAAGTCAGAGAGACACAACAAAGGTTAGTATTTAAATATCGTGCTAATTAAGTATTTTTATAGATAAATTAAAATGAAGACATTATTAACTGCATGCAAGTCTTGGTTGAATCAGCAAAGTTTATTGTGGTAATATGCAATATCAAAGTTTACTAACATGTTAACGGCATTAAGAGTTGCTAAGAGCTCAATTCCTTTCGTGTTATTATGAACGTAGTGTTTTACGGCAGAAAAGTACTTATTATTAAAATCCTTCAGATATATACTGGTAAAATGTTAACCCCAACCTTTCCTACCTAGCGGAAGTTATATAGCAACAAATTGCATGAGCAAGACTATTGCAACTGATTCTTATACTCGACTATAACTTATACAATATATAACAATGTTTTTTTATCCGGCATAATTCATCGCTGGATTTGGAAATTTAGATCAATGAGTGACTTACTGATGACACTAATCTGTGGTCGAGTTCGATCGTGGGCACAAGAAAATAGGCCAGTCAAAAATGTAATTGTTTACGTAACATGCATGCAGTGGCGGAAATCTTGGTGGGGCGGGGAGCGACCGCCACCCCACCCCCACCTATCTTCACGGAAAATTGATAAATTTTCGGAAATTTTGGCCTAAAAGAGGGCTAAAAATAGTCTTTTCGAGTGCAAATGGGGGGGGAGTACGTCGGAAATTTGAAAGTTTTGTCGGAAATTTAGGAGGCTTTGCCCCCCCCCCCATCGGAACAAGTGAATTTCCGCCACTGCATGCATGATCATAAGACATAACCAGTTGGTTACGATAATCTCTATAGTTAATACTGTATGGAAATAACCTCCAAGAGATCAGAGAGAAGTTCGCATTTGACTACAAGTGGGACTATGAATATTTTGCGCCAGTCAGGCATTCAGTCATATTTTGCTGTCAGATCACACTTTCCCTTCCGACGCCTTTAAAGGAAAATAAATACATCAATGTGGTACGTCTCCATGTCTTGCCCGTTTATTGCCTCCAAACGTGAGAGACACGATAGAGTCCATTACACTGATCTGAAAACTAGGACTGGATAGTTCATCCGCTATGAAGCCAATGGCGGCCATATTGATGTGACAACCACAAACTACTGTAATATTGTTGACATGTTGGAAGAGGTTGCAACATTTTCTAGTTATTGCATGGTGGGAAAGGAGAAGTGTTGTCTAGATAGATACCGTGACCTTTCTTTCTTCTTCGAGTGAATAACTAAACTAGAAGTTACTATCGCAAGGGAAGTGCTGCCTTTTGACCCAAAGTCTTTGGGATTGATTATACCAAAAAACTTCATTTATTTAAATTGCCTTATACTGTAAATACACTGTATGTATGAATTTATTTTGTTTAATAATGCAATAATTATTATATACTGTAAACTGTACTTCGGATTTTCATATTTACACATGTGATTGTTGGTACCAATGTTTTAAACCGTCTTCACTTGTCAAAACGTCTAGAAGAACACAATTAGGAAGAACAAACATATAAATGTCTTTTTAACATGATATGATTAGTTTGTTGCAAGTTTTCATATTCTTTCCAAGTAATAATAGTGTACTGTATTTTCCAATTGGAAAACAAGACAGTGCCATTAATTGTTTTTTTGTCCAATACGCAGATGTTTCGTATTTATTTAGCATGTACAGATAGTGTCCATTGTTGGCGACCATTGTTAGGTTACTGTACATATAAAGGTATGTAATATCTTGACATGGTAGTAGGCATACAATGTTCCTGACATCCATATGGTAGATTGGAAACAAGTACAGCAATTTAATAATACATGGCAGATTCCATATCCCATTGCACTAGATATATCCAATCTTGTAAATCAGCATTCTTGTTTTAATAGAAATACATTTCTGTTAATCCAGAAGCTCCTATCCATTTGCATGAGATGAACAGTAATATAACCATATTATATTTTGACTATAACAACCATTTGGTTTCATCCACAGTTAACATGGCACCATTCACATCCGTGCAAAACTATAGAAAAAAATAATTGGTAGCATGAGAAATTTATGTGGAAACATAGTGGCACATAACTGAGTGAAAATAAAAGTAGGGCAGGGGGAGGGGTTAAACAAACAAAAAAACTTACCATTCTTATATCTTGCAAATCATAATATTTTCATACATACAGTGATAACAAGGAGTAAATTACATGTAGTTATTATATAATAAATTAAATTATTTAAAATGGTATATAGTCAAAGTACATACTCAACTATAACTGGGATCCATATATGAAATCCCTCTCTTATTCAAACTCAATAGTTTGTTGTTGTAAATGCACTGCTAGTAGCCTGTGCTAACTGATCTAGCCTGTTTTCTTCTTCAAGCCTATATTGTAAGTTAGCGGATGATTTCAAGCTTGTTAATCGTTCATACGTCATTGGTTCAATAACACAAGATGCAAGTGATTTTACTCTGCTAATAGCAACATAAGAAACTCCAGCAGTTCTTTCAGATTTGCCAATATCTATCCATGCTTTTGGAAGTGTAAGTCCTTGGCTCTTGTGTATTGTTAGAGCCCAAGCAAGCCTAAGAGGTAACTGTTGCCTCTCATGGAAACCTATTTCTGTCTGTGATGTGACAGTGATTGGATATATTGGGATACACAATGGTTGGTTTTCATTAAAAACAGGTCCTCTATAGTTTTCAAATTCTACTATTACTGCAATAGGTAAGTCAGGTGGTTGATGGTTGTTCCGATAGATAATATCAACAACGGTTCCAGTAGCCCCATTGCAGAGGCCCACACTTGACCACAAATTCATGGTTAACATGACCCTAGCACCTTTTGCTAGAAACACAACAGGTTCTAACCCAGA